GTGAAGTATATTTTCGTGGGTTATTCTGCTACTTGTAAGAGGTATGCTTGTTGGAGTCCAAAAAGAAAAAAATATTTATGAGCATGGATGTATCATTTAGAGAACTTAAACCGTACTACACCGTGGAGGTGACCTCGCATATTGGTGACTCGCCAGTTACTGGAGGTGTGAGTGGAAGATTAGTGATGGTCAAAGATTGGTACATGTGAGAATAATGCTTTTCATGTTGTATGGGAAGAATTGGTTGAGAAAGGGCCGAAAAATTAGAAAAATGAGCCCAAAGGTGGAGGGATTCAAGCTAAAGGGATGCTAAGAGTGCATACAAGGAGGAAGAGGCAGAATGAGGGAACAGTGTCTGTCGTGTCCCTCATGTTATTAAGTCTCGTCTTGTTCTGCCCCGACTCTTGAAACACCTACACCATTCACTTTAGAATCTGATTATCCAGGTGATACGATTCCCCTATCTTCTTCCTCTCCCATGGCCTTAAGAGGAGCCTCTCGCGGCAATGCGGGTCGTTCTCATCGTTATTCTCCTGATTGTTTTGGTTTCTCTCATGGCATTGCTCATTTTGTCTCATACTCTAACATATCGCTTGTGCACGGGACATTCTTGAAACTTTGGAAATTATTTATATACCCAAGTGTCTACAGGGAGCTTAGGACAATCCAAAGTGAAATGTTGTCATGTTGGAGGAACTTGGTGCTCTCAATAAGAACATGACGTGGGAAATAGTACCGTTGCAAACGGTAAAAAGAGTAGTTGGGTGCTAGTGGATTTTGATAGCAAAACAAAATTCATAAGGGAAAATGAAGCATAACAGGGCGCAATTGGCGGGAAAAGGGTAAGTTAGACGTATGGCATTGATTATAAAGAGACCTTTGAACCAGTAGTGAAAATGAGCGCAGTGGAACACTGGTGTCTCTGGCTGTGTATTGTGGGGGGAGGTTACACCAACTCGATGAAAAAAAGTTCTTATGGCAAGTTCTGGAAAAGGCATATATGGACATACCACCATGATTTGATACAGATAAGATAGTGGGCAAGTTGTGCAAGCTCAAAAAGTCATTTTATGAATTGAAGAAGTCTCCTCGAGCCTGGTTCGATAGGTCTAGAAAAGTTATAGTGGGGTATGGAATATCAAAAGATCAATGTAGACCATACAATGCTTTTCATCAAAATAGGAGTCAAATCACTCTTTTTGTTGTGTATGTTTATGATATGATTATCACTGGTGATGATGATGTCAAAGTTTTGAGAAAAATAGACTGAATCCTAAAAATGCTCAATGTCTTTTCCCTTTGCTTTCATTCAATTAAATGATAATCTTACAATCTATTTTAGGTACAAAATATTTTGTATAATCTATTTAAGGTAACTTAATAATACATCTTCCTAATCTAAATATTCAGCTAAAAGGGAAATAAATCAGAATTAAGATATTGAAAATAATTTAAATAAGGAAGCTCCTAATTTAGCTGTCTGATTTCCGTCCTTCCTGACTGACACCCGCCCTCAAATTGATGTTGACTAGTCAGAAAGCATCAATTTACCAACAAGAAACTGATAACACTATCGGGAACAAAAATCCTCAAGCCATGAGTGCCAAAGCCGAAGGTGTCGACGCCTCAGAGACAACTCCTGAGCCATAACATGATTTGAGCAAAGAAAAGCAAGAAATCTTTTATCTTTGTCGTCCAGAAATTCGAATCATAGCCACAAGAAAGATTCGCTTCCAGTTACACGATTCAAATGCTACCGATTATAGCCCACAAATAGGATCCGGTTACACGATCCAAATGCTATCGATCATAGCCTACAAGTAGGATATGCATCCTGATCCAAATGTTACCAATCATAGCCCACAAATAGGATCGAGAGTTGGGGGCGGGGTTTCAGAGAAAGCAGGGGATCTGTGACGAGCGAGCGTGAGGAGGCAAAAAGCGAGGTATTCCTCCTCCAATTGGGAACCACTGAAGCCATCTATCTGTCTATCGAGCTGCAAATCCAATCTCCCACCACTCCCAGCTACCCAAGGAAGGCTTTGGGTAGAAGAGGACCAGAGCTCTAAGGCCGGCGCCTGGGAGGAAGGGGTCTCCGGAAGAGCTGGGAAGGTCGGCGGCTGACAGTTCGCCGGCGGGGAGGAGCACGAGCCGACGAGCCCGGTCTTTCTTAATGAATATATTTTGTCCATTTTAAGTGAAAGTGCTGAGATTTGTATCTAATGTAGGGCCCTATTTGTAAATAAATGAAGTCTAGAGATTTATTTGTAAACGTTGTAACTTGTAAGGCTCTATCTAAACCCTTCATCAATGAAATGAAGGTGATTATTTGAGCAGTAATTTCTATTCCAACCTTTCTCAATTTTTGGGCATTGTAGTAAACAGACTATAGATGTATATACATGTATAAAAAAAGATCAATTGGTTGATATAAATCATTCTTTGATGAAATCCACGGTATGTTAAACATTATTGAATTAAATCTACTTTAAATATTTCATCATTTATATATTCTTTGTAACTCTTCTAGTAGAACATCTATTCTAATCAAATCCCTTTTGTTAATCATATTTATACCTTGTGCATTACCACTTATATTTTACTTGGTGAGATTTCACTTATTATATTTATTTCCTATAAACTCATGCCCCTTAATTTATGAATTTTAGTTTGCTAATCATGCATCATTTAAATAAGTTTTCAGGCTTACGTTTCAGATAAAAATATTAGAGTTGTAATCGAGCCGAGTCATTTATGTTATGGTTTGGATTTAGTTTGGTCGAATCATAAGTTGTTCATGTTTATTTTGAGCTTGAGAATAACTTAAAAAATATGTATATACTAAGCTTGCTTAAATTTTTTATTGTTCATATTTAATTCGTAATTGGCTTGTTTATGCAAGTTAAAATTTTAAAAATTCAAATAAGTATTTAATTTTTCATGTCAAATTAAACATTTGATTTTAACACAATTGTTCATATAAAACTACTAAACAAGTTAAAAAATTTTTTATATAAAGCTATTAATAAATGATCTAACGAATCTAAATAAATAAGCAATTAAATAGATTTCAAATTAGAATGTAACTAATTAAGACCAAGTAAAAAAAATAATATATAAGTTATAAGTACGTTTTTTGCAATCAAATAACATAAATAAGTACCAAAAAACTAGATCATTTAAAAAAAAAATTTTACATTTATGTGTATATTTATATTAAATGAATTGTTTCCAAGTTAGCATATAACTAATTAAAACCAAGTAAACAAGTTATATGTACATTTTTTGCAATCAAATAAATACCAATAAGCTAATTCATTTAAAAAAAATTTTAATTTATGTGATAATTGGTATTAAGTTATAATATGTTACTATTAAATATATTATTAACTAACTCTAATTAATTATATTTTATGTAAATAATATACTATATAAATATAGAGCATTTAACAAGTTAGCATTTTAACAACAAACGAGTCTGTTCATGAACAATAATAAGCAAGTTAGATTACACTCAAATTTACTTCATTTATACTCCGAGTTTTAAAAAAAAATCAAACTCGTTTATTTACTAAATTGAACAAGCATGATCGAGAATTAATCGAGCCAAGTTTAAGTTGTTCATCAAGTTCATTTCTTCATTTACAGCCCTACGTAGAATTAAAGATGTTTAAGAATAGAACCATTTAATTAATTCAATAATAAAGTTATATTATTTATATTTTGGGGGAGATAAGAGTATGTCATTTTTTAATTTAGATGCTTTGATTATATTTATTACTGGATAAATATTATTGGAATTAAGTTTATATTGCTATGAATCTATTCTTAATTTTAAGCTCATATCCTCTAACTAGGTTTTCCTGTAAATTCCTTCTAGCCCCACCTGAGTGGTGTGACACAAACCTTTCATTCTTTAAGGGTATTGCTACTATGAGACACCGAGTGCATATTATAATGTATAAATCAATGACGACAATCTGAATTTATATATGCATGATATACTCATGAAATAGTTAGCATTTTAAGTGCTTCATATATATGTCTATGATAGGATGGTTCAATCCAAGAAGGAGTGATCAATTTGATGAAATATGTTTTTTTAATTGTGCAATTTTTTTTTACTATGTTGCATGTTACATGCTCAACTTACTTTGCTTCAGTCAATAGAATTTACTATTAATTTTGCCTTGCACATTTATTTATTAATACTCTTAATTGATCCTATCATATTAATTGATGGACCGTCAACGCAAGAGTATATTCATTATCAGTAAATATTCTTTGAGTTTGAGTTATTCAAGTTGTTCTTGGTTTCAAATTCATGTATTGGTTTTTTATTAGCTTCTTTCAGTTGCGCTTGTTACCTTTGTTTCATTAGTGGCACTTTGATTTCCTTGATTTACTATAACAATTTATTGTTTTAGAGAAGTTTCATTTTACATATCATACGATAAAAAATTTATGCTTCAATACTTTTATTTAAGAATAACTTCTTGGAATACAAAAATGTTTCACTTGACCGTAAAGCTTGACATTTGTCGTGAACGTTAAGTTTAGTCCTTTGATCAAATCTCATGTTGTGAGTCTCACCACACCATGAGTATGGCATGTCACGGCGACATTTAAAAATTCATGCTCAATTTTCTTCTCAAGACTTATGAGAGGAAACAATATACCAAGTACTCCTATTTTTGGAGTTTGATTTATGATATTGTGAATTTATTTGGATTTTATGTGAATTTATTTAGAAATTGCTATGGCTCCAAGAGTGAAAAGAGGAAAGCCTTTGGGAGGTTTTGATGTGAGACGATTTATTAATTTGAAGGCTCAATATTATTGTAATACTCAGATGAAGTAAAATAATATAGCATTCAGGCTACTTAGCCTATGTTGGATGAAGTAAAATAATTCACATTAAACTTTTCCAACCATAGTGAAATGAGAAGAATTCGAATCAACCAGATAGAACTGAAAAGAAATAAGATTACTAATATAACCTGAAACCAGTTAGGGTTTTCTGGACTCTGTTGAGCGGCAAGAACCTCCACAAAACCTTCATTCTTGTATCCACCCATGTTACTCCCATAGGCCCGTGAAAGGTGGCGGTTCAGTGAAGCAGAATTAAACTGAGTTAGAACATAGATTTTCGATATGTCGCTGTTCAAACAATTGCTGACAGGAATATCAATCAGTCTGTAGTTTGCTCCAAGAGGAACAGCTGGTTTAGCTCTCTTCTTTGTAAGAGGGTATAACCGTGTTCCAGCACCACCTCCCAATATAATGCCCAAAACACTCTACAAAAAGTGCGGTTAAGTCAGGTTTTATGCCAATATAGCCTTAAAAAGTACATAAATTGTTATAGACAAAATTTTTCAAGTAATAAGGAATGTGATAAAATTAAGATTAAAATAAAACGAAGACATAAACACATCCTCTGATTTTACCATGCTAACATGGCATGGGTCAAGATGTTTACATGCCATAAACAACTGATTTGTAATATGAATAGCAGGTCAGATTCAGTTCAATGCACATTATAAAGATAGATGGCTACTCTTGACGAAAATCAAGTTGGACATATAGTTTCCATGTAAAGCACTTGAAATACTCAAAAAGTTGGCCATTCTTCTGATAGGAATATCTTGTTAAAAAAACTAAATATTAAAGCACTCAATTTTTTTTTTTTAAATTTCATTGAGAATAACCAAGACCTGAGGTAATGCACAAGACAAGTAATCGCAACACCCTTGAACACTTGGAGTTACATCAAACACTTGAGCTGAGCATCGAAGGCTCCTTAGAGTGAAGGATGAGTTCTCTTCTTCACTGCATGCTCTAAAATCCTAGAATTGTGCATGCAATGGATGACTAATCATGTCAATCTAAGCTATTAGCAGATCCAATGTCCCACGTCATCCAGACTAAATTAGGATATAGAATTTATTTTCCTATTCTTGTCGGCTTCTCAAAGAAGTCATGAGAACAAGAGTTGATGAACATACATATTCGTCTGAGCCAAATTAATGAAGCCATCGTACAAGCTGTTTCATGGTTGACTTAGCGCTTCTTGATCCAAACTTATAAATAAGTGGCCAATGAGGCAGACAAAACCATGTCATTTATGGGTTGTCTGGCAACATATGCGATTTAAGTTATTATTACTTAGTAAATCCCGTAAATCCGGATTTACTAAATCCAGAATGGGTTAAAGCTGGAAATCTGTGTGTCAATGGATTTACTAAATCCAGTAAATCCGATGGAACTGTTTGGTAATTTCAGCGAGGATTTAGAAAATAGTTATGGCCAATGGACACAATCGGAAGCAAGCAAAATTAAATCCCAAGCCCCGCAAAGTAAAATTCATCCACCATTTTGCAGGATTTATCGGATTTACTGTCAAAATCTGTGGAATCCAGATTTATGGAATCAGCAGATTTATTTGCACAAAATGACGGTCTGGCAGGTTCGGCTTAAATCCTGTGTAAATTTTAAGCAAAATTACCGTCCGGCAGGATTCGGCTTAAATCCTGCGTAAACACATCCATTCCCAAGACAGCCCCATATTCATGTACTTCTAATTCCCAATGGTGGTCCTACTAACATTTAACATAGGAGGTCAGTGAGAAATACAAAACCACATCATGCAATCATGAACTTTAGCGCCCGCAGGCTGTCCTACTAAAATTTAACATAGTTCTTCCATCCAATCGTTCGGTTCTCTCTCCCTTCGCTTTTTTTCCCTTTGGTTTAGATTCATGCCTCAACTAAGTCCTGAAACTCTCTATGTACAAATATGTGTGCAACAAGTACTAGGACTAAATTTCAAACAAAAACCCGCAGAACATCGAAGCAACAACCAACATACTTTGCTAGCGGGAGGATCAAGACATGTCTGAGAGTCCCGCGAGTCCGAAACCGCTTTTGGCGATACCAAGATAGGGTTCCTCCGCAATAAACCTGCTCCCCTGCGGCCACAAACCGCTCCGGAAAGAAAACCCTTCTCACCAACGAAGCTAGAAGATGAAGAAGCAGCAGCAGCTACGCTTCCCATCGTATATCGATGAAAAGGAGTCGAAGACGACGTTAGGCACTGACCCGAAGGAAAATTCGAGAACCCAATCACCGACATTGGAGCTTCACACTGAACTCCTCGATGAGTGCAGCGACTACAGAGCAGTGCTGATTAGGAGAAAACTCCGGTTTAGCTCTGTTTATAAACTTAAAAACAAGTTAAAAAGCAAAAAAATATCATTCATATTTCGAATCTATGAAGCGCTCGTAAACGTCGACGTGGAAAATCAAGATTCGTTTTTATATGAGTTTCGTGTTTGATTATGGATACCTGATTTTAGAAATTGATTGAGCGGGTAAGGACACGTGACGCAGCTATCCAAGACATGACGGCTGGGGGAATGCGGATGGCCGCGTGGCAGGGAAGAACACCGCAAACGTTCGCCGATTCGGTCACGCGAACCGGACCAATGTAATTGATTCGGCTTGATTTTGCGTTCCGAATTACTGATTTATGAATATTTTTTAATTTAATTTGATAAATTGAACGGTTCTGTTTGAAATCGTTTTTAATTTTTCTATTTTTATTTTTTAATATGAAATAAAATAAAAAGATAGATGAAATAATTATATTTTCTTGTTGTTATTTTCCAAACATATTTTTATTTTCAAATATAAACATATTCTAAGGGTATCAAATATATTTTTATTTTATATTAAAACAAAAATAAAACTAACAAATAACAGAAAGTGATTAGGAATGACCCTTTAAGTTGATAGACTTGGGGCTTATTTGAAACTAATTTTTTTTTTATATATTTTTTCTTTATTTAAAAAAAATGTTTAGTTAATATGTTTTTGTTAAATGTTATGTTCGTGAATTATGCATAATGAATAGAGGTAATAAGAGAAAAATAGAAACTCAAACATACTGAAGTTTTGGAGCACCAAAATTCAATACTCTCCTTGCTACTTTTTTTTCGAGAAAAATTCTCCTTTACACGTTTTTGTTCTCATATTTATAGTAAATGAAAGCTACAATATGAAATGCTAATAATGCCCTCAAGATTATTTACTACTGGTCGATCACTCTAACTATTATGGTTAATGTTTTTATTGAATTCTTTCTGACTGGTGTGTCGTTTCGCTCACTCCAATGATAGTCAGTTGTTCATTTGCTAATTTGGTCGACATGTTTAACTCGCTCTTCGACAATTTGCTTCATGCCGACTAGGAGTTCTTTGTGCTCGTTGATGTTGATTTTTCATCACATGTCCCGCCATACATATTTTAGTTCTTTGATTTCCTCATGTATTAGTAGGTTATAAGTGTCATAAGAGCTAGGGAATTAGATGCAAGGGTGGATAGGTTCTCATTTTTTTAATTAATTTCTAATTGTACAAACTTTCTTTGATTTTTTTACATAAACTACTTATAAATAGGCCGTAGTTTTTTTTTCCAATTCTACTCACTTCTTCTCCTTACTTTATGCCTTGGTCGCCTTTAAGAATGATTCTTTACCATGGACAAGTTCTCTGAAACTTAAGTTCCCATTTTGAGTAAGATTTTGCTTCATGGTCTCTTTGCTGAGGAAAATAAAAAGAGACATCCCAAGGGTGCCTGTGAGAAAAAAATGGCAGTGAAGAAAAGGAGAGGCTCACCCTTACGTCATGTTGCAAGCAGCTCCCAAAAGCACTCATAGCCGTGGCATGTGACGGGGTACTAGGAAAAATCCAAGAACTCGATAGAAATATTCATATGTCGATAAGAAGGTTGACAAAAAAATGAGGTCAACACATAGCTTGTTATATTTTTTGTTGCTCAGTTTTGTTCGATCATAGTTTGTCCTTTGCGAATCACGCTCTGAGAGTTAAAACCGAGTGAAGATGTGAGGGAAGAGGAGTAGAATAAGTCTGGGATCTTTATAGGGAGAATCGAGGGAAAAAGTCTACTTACATAAATGAAGGAATAGTTATAGAAACTGTTCTTTACGTCATTAAGGCTCTAATTGATTGTAATTGTATAGATTTTATTGTTACATTTGTATTACAATTTGAATTTCAACATTGAAAGTAATTGGTTGGTTGGCTGACTTAAAGTAGTCGACTGAGGCGAACGACCGAGTAGCATATGTGTCCTCTGAAGTACACATTGTTCGGTCGAGGTGTTCGGTCGTATGACAATCTTGCTCAGGGTCCTTTAGCACGGTGAACCAGAGCGGTCAGTTTTGAGGAGGTTGTTCGATCCTGACGCGGGTTGGTCGGTCGAATATGATCGACCGACTTTTTTCGTAGTGAGTCGTGGCTCATTTTTCTTTTGGCTCAAGTTTTATAGAGCTCATGTCTTGCTTAATTGGTTTGTCGCTTCGGACGAATCTCCCAATCTGCAAGGTCTTAAACAGATCTTGTCGTAACCCACACGGGGTATCCGACGAGACTCGTTGCTAGAATGATTCACGCCTCACTTTTGGAGGGTCTTATCGCTACCAAACGGAGAACCATCTCCGAAGCTTGAACCTATCTCACGCCTCACTTTTGGAGGGTCTTATCGCTACCAAGCGGAGAACCATCTCTGAACCTTGAATCTATCCCAGGTTTGGAGACGCAACTTCATGCTCGGCCTTAAATCGTTGGTTGATTTCTGACCTTGAAAGGAGGTTCTTTCATCTTAGTCGTTCGTTCTCTTTGAGATTAGTGCTGTTATTTTTAGTATATACAAGTTTGTTATTTTTTAACATAGATTTAATTCTACTTCATGAATGATGTTCCAATATTTGTTTGTGAGTTTAGATATATTGAGCGCTTGGTGATATTTTCCCTTATTCACTTTGTTTTTTTCTAACTGTTATTTTGAGGTTTTGGCTTTTTTCTTATGGCTACTTTTTTAGGATTTTTTATTCTTTGTTGTGGGGTTGCTTGTTGTATTCTTAGCTCATTGGATTACTGCCTTTTCACTTTGTTTACTTTATTCGTTCATCTGATATTGGGCACTTGATGTTTAGTTCATTTGAATGGAGTATTCTATCAACTTGTTTCTTGTCTTGATGGATTCAATTGGGGCTTTTTTGTTGAAGTTTCTATTGAAGATGGTTCACTGGTATTTAACAAAATTATTTTGATTATTTTGAATCAAAAGTTTTTATTAGTGGAGATATCACATATTCTCTTAAAGCTATAGATATCTAGAGTTTTTTTGTGATTAGATTCTATTTTTTCTTATTCTTTGATGCATTTTTTTGTCTTTATTAGACTTTTAATGTAATTTTGTTCCTTTAATAATAACGATGGACAGGGCCCTCAAATATCCAAAATAAATAAATAAAATCAGAAATAGTATTTATTAGCATTGCATAATTTTTCTAATAATTATAAATATATCCTTCAAAATAAGTAACATTCATAAATATAGACATTTAAATACACATCACTGACCAATTCATATGTATTTCATTATCTAACTTGTTGAATCCAAAAATATCTTGTGAATCACGCCAAAGAAATATAACGTTGGACGGAGAGAGAAAAAAATTATAGTGCACAATAACACAAGTTATGAGGGGATAAGTTCAATAGTTCTTTCTTGAATAAATGACCCCATATTTATATATCATAAGGGTATCTAGTAAAGTTACATACTTATCTTTGTTTTAATAGGGACATTACAAGTAATTATTACACTTATTCATATTTGTAACCAACTTTGAGACCCTTTAATATCTGTAACTGACGTTGGCACCATTTCACATTCATAACTGCTTAAAGATGAGCATTTAATGACTCGCTGATATTTTCATTCGATCACTTAATAACCGTGATTTGATGGTTAGCTCTCTTTTGGATAAAGGGCTTTCACAGAGGATTGAACGGTTATTTATTAGGGTGTCTTTTGACATTCTTCGCGAAGAATTCTAGAATCATTTGAGGGGGCTGATTACAAATTGTTGTCCCTCATATCAGGTGCTACTTGTTCTTTCATTAGGTTGTGTTTTTGTTCACTTGGCATCCCCGTCTATTAAGCATCTCAGTGAAGTACTTTGGTTTCATTAAGCAAGATTCGTTGAACTTCATTAAGTATCTCAGTGAAATCCTTAGTTTCTGAAATCCTTAGTTTCTCAATTTTATTACTTCTTGAAAGCAAAAGATGTGATAAGAATAAAAAAAATTAAATGTAAAAATTAACTTATTTATTGCATAATAAATACTTCTAATAATCAAACTCTATGAATTTTCATGCATGCATTTTTTATAAATAGAATTTGTTCAACACAATTTCATCACAATTTTTTATTTCTTGCCCTTGAGTTAGTTTGAAGCAGAAAAAGGCAATGATCAGTGATAAGAAATAGTAAGTGAGGAAGCAATGTTGAAGACCTTTGGGATTTCGACTGAGAAACTTTGTCATCCCTTAAGAGTGAATAAGAGGAAACTTGAGAGTATTCGGTCGGTAATGAAGAAGAAATCCATGGATGAGGGGCGACTGTTAGGAAAGAATTTGGAGGGCAAAGGATGCCTGATCGGATCAAAGAGACCATGGGAAGTTATTCAACCAGAGGAAAAAAGTGATCAAGCGGTACAAAAGAAGCAAGAAGTAGAGGAGAAGGCTGAGTTGTCTAACTCACTGCCACTCTGTGAGATGGGGGCTAAACTGTTGTATATCATCAGTTTACCGATCCTTGCTCAGTATCTGATCCCTTAGTGATAGCTCATCAGTCATCACAACAATAGGCCCAGGTGGTCGTGAAGACCCAAGT